GCCATATCTGTATGTCTCTTATGACAGCTAGGGTTTTTGGTGTTTTTTTTTCATTTGTAGCATAGTTATTTATGTGTAAGTTTTATTATAGTTTAAGCATCTTTCTGCAGGAGTGCTTTCTTTTTTGTTTTTATATCCCTTAGCATGAGGCTTAGTGCCTCACCCATTCAAGTATTCAGGAAATACATGTTAATGACAAATGAAAATACCATATGGTGTGGTTGCATTTTTATCAGTGTTCACTTTACAAAGTGTTCTACATTTGCTGTCTGAAAGAATGTACCAAAAAACCATGAACATTTACCTTACATTTTTAATGCTGTGGTTACTGCAGTCATCAGTCAGATGTGACCATGTATATGCCTTATGGGTAATAAGACTCCATTTTCCTTGCTCTTGGACAGGAGAATCAGATGAGAGGGAACAGTCAAAATTGGAAGTTAAAGTTTGGGACCCAAATAGCCCACTTACAGATCGACAGATTGACCAGTTTTTAGTTGTAGCACGGTGAGTATGACACATTGCGTGAAAACATCTTTTCTCTCTATAAAATAATTTATACATATTTTCCTTTCTTTGTATTCTGCTTTTTTCATTGGTTTTATTTTTTTAATTATGTAAGAAAGCCTAATATATGTCACACCACTTCCTAAATAAAATGGTTTATTATCATTAGTTTCTGTTTTAAAAATGAAATAGATTTATTAAGTTTCATAGATTAAAAAATAAACACACCTTGTAAAAATGTAAGCACTGCACAAAAGTATAAAGAAGAAATTCACCTCCTAAAATCCCATGTCTTTAATTTAAAGCAGTGATTGGTCATGTGTCAAGAATAATTCGCGCCTCAAATTCCTCTTACCTGCACCCATGCATGGGGAAGGCCTACTGCTGAGCATATGGCTTTCCTTTGAGAGCTCTAAGCTTGGCTGCCAAACTGGCTTCCTCCCTCTCCACCTGACCTCTTTTTCCTGTTTTCTTGATAAAATGAATGGGATAGAAATTTATTTTTATTGTTTTACTTATAAAAGTAAATGATGTTTGCCTGGCTGGTGTGGCTCAGTGGTTGAGTGTCAACCCATGAATCAAGAGGTCCCTGGTTAAATTCCTCCTGCAAAGCAGAAGGGAAATGAGATTATCATAGCATTGTAATAGAAAAATTAGAAAAAAACTAAGAGTACATCAGCAAGCAATAATACTTAAATGGAATATTCCTTTACAACAATTAAAATGAATGAATTAGAGTTATATGTAGCAAAGAGAGAAATCTCAAAAATAAAGTTGAGCCTGGCCAGAGTGGCTCAGTTGGTTGAGCGTCATCCAGTGTACCAAAAGGTTGCCAGTTTGATTCCTGGTCAGGACATATCAGGGTTGTAGGTTTGATCCCTTTTGGGGAGGGTAGTGAGGGCAACCAATCAATGTTTTTCTCTCACATCACTGTCTACCTCCCTCCCTTCCTTCCTCCCTCCCTTTCTTCTTGTCTCCCACCCTCATCCTACTGGTGGGAGTATGAGTTGGTATAGCTGCTTTGGTAAACTGTTACCATCTAACCAGAAGACCCATATGCAGATGGCATGAATATCACTATCCAATCTGGAAACAAATATCCATCATCAGTAGAGTGGCGGGAGTGGCGGGGGGGCAGGGGGGGGCATCATACAGAGGATGCGCCACAGCAAGGAGAATGAATGAACACAGATACAGCTAGCAGCATGTGTGAATCCACAAACATAACTTTGAACAAAAAAAGATGGACACGAAAAGAGTACATAGTATTTGGTTCTATTTAACTTCCCAAATGAGCAAAATGAACTTGTGTGTAGTGTTAGAATCCAGGATAGTGGTTCTTTTGGAGGAAGAGGGAGAGAGGGAGTAGTGTAGGGTGCTGCCATCTTCTGTTTCTTGATCTGGATATTGGTGACATGGATGCATTCACTTTGCCAGAACTGCATAGCTGTACAATGTGTACTATGTGTACTTTTTCGTTCACGTGTTATAGTTTAATTACAACATCTTAAAAACTTTTTCTTAGCTAACGTGTTTAAAAGAGAGACAAAGAGCAAGTCATTGTCATTTCATGCTTTATTTCTTGAAGTTAGGGTTTGTTACATGTGGGAAGTCTTTCTAAATCATATGATAATCAGTGTGGTAATTCTTAAAAATGGAAATATATATTGAGGCCTCATAAGAAGAGGTTGACTATATTTCAAGAAAAAGTGTTACTGGGATTTCACAATTTGGGCTAAAAAAAAGGGGGTCAGAACTTGCTTTGCAGTAATAGTTGAATTCTAGCTAATTTAATTCTCATTTTTTAGCACATTTGAATGCCAAATTGTTTACTCTGTGGCATTTCAAAATAGATCTTTCCCTCCTTTATGCCTCACAACCTACTTTTTCTTTTAATTTAATGGTAATGACTCATATGGTAAATTGGCTTGTCAATTCTTAAATTTTATAGAAAATACTATTTTTATTTGGTACTTGATTTTCAGACATCCAAGAACTTGATTTTTCATTCACCACCAAAATGTGTTTCTTTAAATATAAGAAAAATAACAGAGTCTTGATTTTTCCCTCTTTGTTTTTGTGGTTTATTTAGTGCTGTTGGGACATTCGCTCGAGCCCTTGATTGCAGCAGTTCTGTACGGCAGCCTAGTTTGCATATGAGCGCAGCTGCAGCTTCCCGAGACATCACTCTGGTAAGATGCTTTTTGAAATTTTAGGGTTCTTTCTGCTGCTACTTGTTTAATTTTAAAGCCAAAATAGCAGTGTTGTAGACATGAGAGCATATCTTGGCTATTATGTTCCTTCTAGGCAGGTACTTTCAGCTCCTCCAGTGTTTCCATCTCTTTTGTTTTCTTTAGTATTTAGCAGTCTGGAGGTCACTTTTATATTACATCTAATATCCTAAATTATTTATTACTATAATTGTTAATTTTTTTTTTTTTTTTTTTTTTTTTTTTTTTTTTTTTTTTTTTTTTTTTTTTTTTTTTTAGCAGAAGTATACTCAGAGGCTCAGGAAATTCTGTTTTGGTCTGTTTATACAACTGGTTTCAGAGATAGGATTTGGATCTGTTCTTGATTCCTACCGCGGAGTTCCGCTCTACCTACTCTAAGTTCAGCTTTACTTGGACTCTTTCTATATGTTGTTCTTGTGTTGAAATTATGTTTTTGGTGCCATGAAATTGACATCTTTTAGAAGTTGCAAAAGCAGGAAGAAATTGCCTTTTGTTATTCAGATGCTATGATCTGCATCTTTAATACTGTTTGCCTAGCTGTGTCAGGCCTTCCACTTTGATGTTAAAATATAAGATCCTGAGGCATTTCTAGAAAAATGAGTGGGACTGGTTAAAAATTGATTATTAATATGTTGATGACGAGTTTTGCTGATTGTTTTCCAAAAAGAACATGTGAAAGGCTAAGTTGTTTTGTGCCTTTAAATGAGAATTGATTTATCATTCAGCTGAATCTGGAGAGTCAAGTTCTTTCTTTTCTTTCAGTGTTTGCAGGCCTGTAAGAGATCAGGTAGTACCTTTCTCCTTCAGGTGACCAGACCATGCATCCAAAGACCTCCCAGTACAGAGAAGGCAGGGTTGGCAAACTACAAGAACCTGGGTAGCCTATCAAGTGGTTTTCTTGTGGTTTTTCCTGTGAGGACTGCAGCTGGGCGTTCAGCACTCCTAACCTGACACATCCATTTATCCAAGACAATCAATGTACGCCACTTGTCAAATCACCAGTAATTTTTTAGGAGCAGGTACTTAATCTACCAGCAGATGGCTAGGTCTAACTTCCTCATAGCTAGACTGTGAATTTCAAACACTGCCAGTCTAAGGTATATAATAAGATTTATAATTACTAGAGTATTGAAGCCATGGAGGCTTCATAGATTTCACCCTTGTTTCATTAAAAAGTGAAGTGGAGCCCTAATCGGTTTGGCTCAGTGGATAGAGTGTTAGCCTGGGGGCTAAAGGATCCCAGGTTCAGTTCCGGTCAAGGGCATGTGCCTTGGTTGCGGGCACATTCCCAGTAGGGGGTGTGCAGGAGGCAGCTGATGGATATTTCTTTCTCATCGATGTTTCCAACTCTCTATCCCTCTCCCTTCCTCTCTGCAAAAAGTCAATAAAATATATTTTTAAAAAAAGAGTGAAGTGGAACAAAAAAAGAAAGAAAAGTAAAGTGTATTTTGTACAATATGCAAAGGAAAAAAATCATCAGTTTACAACAATAACTACATTGACCTTTCCTCCACCCCTTTGAGGAAACAAAGTTCCTTAGAACAAAGTAAACCTTGAGGTGGTTAGTAAGTAGTAGTTGGTGGATGTTCTAGCCTGTTACTTCATGTTTGTTGTCTACACCCACATGGCTGGAGGGTGGAGTGCCATGTACATTGTTAGGGAGGTATGGCTGGGGCAAAGCCTCTGTCTCAGAGAATAGGTAATTGTGTAGACACTGGATTTCTCTTTTGCCTGGACTCTGAGGACTAAATTTGGAAGGTAGAATACCAGAAAAAGAATTTTTTGAGTTGTTTGGGGCTTAAGAAGTCGTCTAGGATAGACTGTATTAGAGATAATGGTGAGGTAACTTATATAAAGATTCACATTTAATTAGTGACAGAATCAGGACTAGAAACTTAGGCCTCCCAGTGCTAAGTCTGATTCTGGGAAAGGTCAGGATGTGTTGATTTAGTAGAGAGGAAATTTTATTCTGAAACCTCTCTAATTCCTATATCATGTGTGATCTTTTAAAAATGCAACTTTGATTTTGCTGTTTCCTATCTTATATCCTTTCAGTGGCTTTTGATTGCATTTAGGGTAAAAAAACAACAACACCCACCCCAGTGAACAAGACTAGGGGATTTTGCCTGGCCTGTTTCTCCAGTCCCTTGCCCACACTTTCCTCCGTGTCCTCTGGGCTCTAGCCAGGCTGTGTCCTTCCTTCGGTTCCATGGTTTGCCTCCTGCTACAGGACCTTTGCATGTCCAGTCCCGTTTGCCTGAATACTCTCACAGCCCCACCAAGGTAACTCCAGTCTTTTTTAAAATCTTGTCTAATCCATCAGTCTGGGGCAGGCTACTTTGTGATGTGCTCATGCAGAGAACCAACTCTGTTCCTCCATGTTAGTTGTTTATAATTAAACACTCATTTTTGTGATTATCTGCTTAATGTCTGTTTTTCTCCTTCCCATTCCCCACATGTCAGCTTATAATTTTCATTAATGTATGATTATATCTGTTTTTCCTCATTGTTGAATCCCTAGCAGCAAACATAGGTGTTCAGTAAATATTTGCCAGGCGGGGATACTCACCACTATACTAACGAGGAAGAAGACTTCAGTAAATATTTGAGAATGAACAACTTACTTTCTATTTCTGGGACAGATTTTAAAAAAAATAGGTCATTGGAGTATATTATTTCTATTTTATTGTTTTAATCTTTTACTGAGTACATCTCATCACTAAGATGAACTATTTGAATTCTAATATTGTATCATCAGAGCTATACACACATCTGAAGACCAGGAGTCATACAAAGATTTAAGTAGGAAAAACTTGATTAAAAATTGTAGTAAAATATGTACAACATACCAGTAAAATTCATCACTTTAACCATTTGTAAGTATGTTCTCTGACGTTAAGTAACCACATTGCTGTACAGCCAGCCGTCAGCACCAGCCATCTACAGAACTCTTCATTTCCAGCTAACACTCTATACACATTAAACAGTAACTCCACTGCCTGTTCCCTAGCCCTTGGCAGCCGTAATTTTACTTCTTGTCTCTTTGAATTTGACTATTGTAGATACCTCATATAAGTGAAACCATACATTCTTTGCCCTTTCGTGACTTGCTTATTTCACTTAGTTAATGTCATTTAGTTAAGTTTCATCCATTTTGTAGTATGTGTCAGCATTTCTTTCCTTTTTAAGGCTAAATAATAATATTGCACTGTATGTGTGCATCACTTTTGTTTATCCATTCACCCATCAATAAAAACTTGGATTGCTTCTACCTTTGGCTGTTGTGAATAATGGTATGACTTATGCAGATGGATACACTTTTATGATTCTATGGTTTTCCTCCCCTGGAACTGTAGCCTGTGATCCATATGGTCTTATGCAAGTGACTTAATCTCCCTGTGTCTGTTTCATCATCTGCAGTGGAAATAGTAATACAGCCTATCCACCCTGCTTCAGGGGTTATGGTCTGACAAGGAGAGGTATTATAGACATACCTCTGTAAGTTGCTAATTAGTGTATCTAAGCACATGGAACTTGATGGAACTGGAGAAGCTCTCCAGAACATGCCTTAGGGCTGATTTTCCTGGGCCCTGGGTTCTCTGAGGGGCATAGAACTCTCTGTGACATTGGCTGTCCAGACTGGATGGAAGACATCTGATTTATAGCTGTCACAAGTCTTTTCGAGCTTCCATCAACATTCCAGAAGAAATTAGAATCAACAGCTTACATTCTTCGTTTAAGGTAATGTTCACAAACACTGGGCTTTTAGCCTCTTGAAACCCCATTTCAGGCCCTGTCCTCACTGGGAGAGAAAGCGGGCTATGTCTCAATGCCCTGAACCAAGACCTTTGGCACGCTCTCTCCAGCTTCCAGAAGGGTCTGTCTCTGAGTTACTATGCAGCATCAGCTTGAGGATTAAATGAGATAATGCTTGTAAATAATTTAGAACAGTGTCTGGTGCCATATGAGAGCTCAATAAATATTCACAATTAGTTATTGTTGAGATGATGATGATGATGATGATGATGACGACGACAATGATGCATTTCCCCCACAATCTTTGTTGAGTCTCATTTAATTCTGATTTTGTAGCATTATAAGGGGCTTTGTGATGCCATTTTTATTGTCATTGTAGTAGATTATCACATTTGAATATGGTCGTTAGGCCATGATTAACCACACATTTTAGTATGATTGTTACAAGAATATAACTCTATAATTTCTCCTTACAACAAGGTATAATTTTTATAGTAAAAATTTTCCCATCAAGAAAAACTTAGAAAAAAGAGGAAGTTGATTTAACCAATAATAATTTGTATCAGATATTCACTCTTTATAAAAATGGTAGCCATCAATCTTGCAAGTGATTCTTTGAGAGTCCTAGTCAAATCACACTTTTCATTTAGGACCTTGAGGATACTGGAGATTTGAAGAGAGCTTGCAAATCACAGTCATCACATTATTTAAAGAAATTGTACTCAGCAGAATATATAAATCTTTTGGTTAACATTTTAGGCATTAACTTACTAGTACACCAGAAATCTAGTCTTCAAAATGAATATAAAATTGATAAAATGAGAATTCATATAATTTTTAAAGAAGTCAATTTGCTTATGAGTACTATCTCATAAGCAAAGCTGTACAATTAGAACTAATGGACTATCATTGCAGTAAAAAATATGCAACGTGAAATTTTCCTTCTAAATACTTTATTAAGGCAATAATATTATACATTACGCACACTTTTTGTCTGATGATCGTTAAAATGATATTAAATGAGCTTAGAAGTGCTGTAAATTGTCCTCAGAGAATTGTTTGTGTGTGTTAAGGTATATTTATCCATCTTTTTCTTTCAAATTTAAGCTTAAATTAATTTTTCTTTTTGGTATATGTAGCCTTTCACTCTACTTTTTCTCCCATGAATTTAAGAAGCATCAGAAAAATCACTGTAGATCTGAACT